CTATTGATCTCTCTGTCCATGGCTAAATGATATATCTAATTTTTGAGTCTTTTGATTAGTCTTAGATTTAATTTCATCCTTACAATTTTAAATGAGCTGACCATAAATGTGTATAATCTCTCTCTCTCTCTCTCTCGTTTTTTTTTTTCAAAATGCAGGCTAAAGATTTAGATCTAGCTTCAGCATCAGCCAAGGAGGTTGGTCTCAAATGCCCACTAACATGTCAAGCAGAAGAGATGTAAGTCCTTTTTCCTTTATGTAATCACTATTATAACTAGGCCCACGCTTGATCAGTCATTTTGGGATGAAATTAAGTGGTTATAGCAACGTGCACTAAGCAATATCACAGATGCACGAGATACGGAAGTTCAAGAATTTGATATCCCAAATACATGAATTGTGGAAGTCCACTAACAAGAATAAGTATAAAATTTACACTCCAGTGTAGAAGTGGATGGTAATAATGGTCCAAGGTCATTGTATCGGCCTTTGACTTGGAGGGCACTAAGACGCATCACTTGTGGCATTGCAGAAACGAAATTATAAATTGAATAAGTTGAACATGGTGAGGGATTCATGTCATATCGCAACGTCATGGAAGGGTATCGGCCCATTCGATGGCAATGGCTCAAACGACCCGTAGTTGACTCAAAAGATGTCTCGAAAGACCAGGCCATGTCACGCAAAATTTGTGTTTTACATTGAATATGGAGCCATATAAAAATGGAAGGTGCCGAGTCAGATATGATTCGACCAAGTGTTTTAGGCTTAACGATTCTTTGAACCATGGTAATAGCATGTCAACAACGTTTTGGTTAAATGCTTTTCTTGTTTTGCAACAATGTTGAAATGATTAGATAAATCTTCATGAATCCCAGCAAATAAAAACATAAATAAGCATACAAACAAATACCTCATGGTGATATGAAGTTTCTTGTTACAGCAGTTCTGCATATTCATTTTCAACCTCTTCAGTGCATAGGTACCTTTCTGTACAATTATGTGCATCAAATGCAATTTACATAACTAGTGAGTATTGAGGATCTAGGTATTTAGATAAGCCAATGAGAGTTTCTTTGTGAACATTGGAATTTCATCCTCACCATATCACTGTAATCTTTTGAACCCAACTCTTCGACTGGATGCCCATGTCTTATAATGTATCCATTCCTGTCTGGACCTATTACAAAGCTGGAGGAGGAAAGGAAAAGAAGAGAATGATAATATGAGAACTTGCCTTACCTTAGCTGACTCCAATGACTTACATATTAAAATCTGGAAAAGCTTATCCGCCAAAAAGACCCATGGTACTAATAGCTTACGACACTTTATTCTTTTGACACTCCCACTCAGGTTACAACATCAGTTCCTATGTAATCACATGATTTGACATTGCAAGTATCATTCTTATGCGCTTATCCTGCTTGAAACGGCAGCTGGCCCTGACATTTGTTGTTCTCCCCCGGTAGCAAGTGATTGTTGCCATTGCGTAATTATCAGAAAACCCTTAATATTGCCTTGATATCAACTTCAGCACCCAACTATGCCATAGTTTTCCACTTCTCACTCCTCCAAGTGCTTAAATTACCCCTCACTAATGTAAATTATCAATACAGTTATTTGTTTGTTTGTTAGTACCAAGTGATCTAGCATATTCCTCTTTCATCCAAAAAGCTAGTACTACCTGACCTGGCACCTACAAGAAGATAATGTGAACATTGGAGCAAAAAATTATGATCGGCAAAACAAATTGTAAAGCAAGTGATACCTTTAGCCATCGAAATAAAGAGTTGATTGTCAATAATGAAAACTAAAATTTTCCCTTTATGTTCGTTCCTACCATACGGATATTCCCAATTTGCCCATTTTGGTTTTCCCCAGTCCCACTCCCACATGCAGTATAGATGTCTATGGTAAAGGGAATGGGAGTGGGTGCATGAGCATCATGTTGTCTCTTTCTGAAATAATGGAATATCTTTCTCAGAGCGTAGATTCTACTCAGATGTGAATTGAATCCTTTGAAGTTGTAAGGCACTTCCACTTTTCTTCTTCCCCAATTCTAAGTTAGATTGGTGTGATGAATTGTCATATTGTGTCTTTCTTTTTTGCAATTTGAATTGCTAAGTTGGTTATATCCAATGGAAGTGTACCTTGTTTGGAGCATGCTATCTTGATAGATGCTCTCTTTGATGATTTTTTTCAAGATCAAAGGAAAATTAAAGCTAAATAAACAGATAACAGCTGCAAATAAATTTGTTATAGAGACCTCTGCATTTATGAGGAAGTCGTTCTAAATATTGAGGCCCTATCATCATTGTGCTCGAAAATATCAGAGTTAGACATGTTTATCGTTATGGCATGATATCCTGGATCTATTTGTAGGTCCTAATTACATTTGCTTTATCTCTCTAGATTCACGGAGCTCTGCAACAAGGGTCGTGGAACTGATGACTTCTCTTGTGTTTTCCGCCATTACTACAATGGCACGGATGAGCTTTAAATGTCTTCACTAAAAGCGTTTTGATTTTGCAAGGTCATCCTGTATCCAGAATTTAGAGCCATTTTTCAGTAAATGAGCAGGTTCAGTTTACGTTTATTTTATTTTTTTTCGGAAAATACTTTTTGTGTATGTTTAAGTGGGGGTTCATGTATCCCGTGGAAGAACCCAGTGCTGTAACAAATACTTGCTATGTTTCTGTAATGTCAATTGTCAGCTGGCCAATCTTAAAGTGGTATTATTCGTGTGTATCTCTTCTTTCAAAAGGGAAGGAAAGGTGTAAATAAGCTTCTACTGGGTTCTTATTCAGTAATGAGGATATATGTGCATAAGGTGTTGCATTTGCCTGAGCTTAGGTGCCATCAATCTGCAGTGCAAATAGTTGTCCAAGAAGCAGTTATTGAAGAAACAGGAACATAACTTGGAAGTCAAGATCGGCCCAGCTACCTTGAAAAAGCAAAAAAAAAATAAAGTTATTACAGCATTTCAGATCCTTATCTTTTATTAGACTTAAATTTAAATTTGAGTAAAATTTTTTTAACGACGCAATACCCAAATCAATATCAAATCAAGGAAGATTTATTTTTTACTCAATTCGAGATAGATTCAAGTTTTACCAAAATTTTTAATTGTGAGATTTTATTATCCTTTAAAGATTTAATAGTTATATTTTATCCTATTTTAAATATGAGTTTTTTATTTTTAAAATTTGAGTTTGTCCATTGGAGTCTTTTGTATCCAATCAGATTTTTTTAATCAAATGTTAATTCAAATTTGAGTAAAAATTTGAGTCATGATTAAAAATATTTTAATAAAGAGAAGTTTAAAACTTCGAGGTGTGAAACATTATTTTGTACGCAACCTAACCGCAAATTCGAAAAGATTGACTCCTAGGAGTGACTCAAGGCAATTTGAAGCCTAAAACGGAAATATTAAATGAGGTTTTTTTGTTTTACTATTATTTTAAAAAAAAAAATTATTTTATTTTTAATTTTTTGTGTGAGAGAGATAGAAGAAGGATGTTTTCGAGAAACCGATTTCATTTTTTGGTTTTTTTTTTTATCAAAGAGAGTTTAATTTTAATTTTTGTTTCTATTTTTTTACTTTTTTACAATGGAGAGAGAGAGAGAGAGAGAGGGAGAGAGACTGAATGGAGGCAAATATGAGTTGACTTTTAAGTGTTTTATTTTTAATTTTGATTTTTAGGTTTTTAATGTTATGGATTGGATCATGAACCCAAATTATTACAATAAAAATTGGAAAAAACAGAAGTTGGTTGCCTTATTAAGTCTTATTTGACTCTTTTTAAATTTTTTTTTTTATAAAATTCCACTTTGAATGAAAAAGTTGGTAATACACTGCAACCACAATTCTGATCGCTCAAAACATCTGTTATGGAAACCACATTCATTCCACAGAAGCAGCAAAAATGATCTCCTTGATTTAAGCCAATCGGTTTCACTATACTCCAAACACGAATTCTAATTTTATCTTAAAATGAAAAGTCATTGATTTCGCTCATTTCAATTTCTGAGCCAACCGCACCACAAGTGAACCTAGAGCAACAAACAAATTTCCGGCTTTGGAGAAGGAGACCCAAGCTCAAGTCTCAAGTTCCCCACGTATCCCACAAACATAGGTAAAACTGGACCAGAAGCACTCGGGCTCCAACTCAACACATAAGAGACAATGAACCTAGGAGGATCAAAGTTGAGCAAACAAAAAATGGGTCAAGAGATGACCAGCCGACAAACTCAAGGCACTACATCCTAGAGATCCGAAGGCTATATTCCCTCCTTGGAACCGGAAAAACCATCTAACGGCTCCCCTCTCTAGGAAGGGAAATAAACCAAGGTAAAACAAACCCAACTTAGTTGCAACCCGACCACATACAATCCCAGGTTCAACTAATGTTGAATGTGATGCCCTAAATTTCAGGGGTTCTCATTATCCATTAAGCCCCATTAATTAATTTAAGGCCTTGGTATCGGTGGACTAATCCTAACGAAATTCTGGTAAAGTCTCCTTTATATGAAGAGTTTTACTAAAAACACAATTTGTCTCAATGACCTTCTGAGGCACAATGTAAAGATTTAAATAATTCTCATGCCTTAAACGTTAACCAACAACTCCAAATGTACAAATCTTTGTCAAAAGAGTCGATACAAATGCCCCCAAATTACACGTCTTTACAAAAGAAGGGCTATCTAAGTAATTACATTGAGGCTAAAAGTATCTATGATATCAAAATAGGAGCTCGGACTTTGCCTTTATCATCAAGCTGGGCCCAAGTGCTGGCCATCCGCGGTAGCATGCATTATTCCTGAAATGTTTTCCTACGACGGTGTGAGCCAATGCCCTATATGAAGTACATCTCTCAACCCAATGTTGCATATAATGAGTGGTACAATTCCCAAACATCGAGTGTTCATATATGCAACGTGTAACATAAATAAATGTTACCAACCATGACATGACATGAGTTAATGCTTCGTGCATGTATGACCAAACTCTGAACCTAACCTAACCTGGGCTCCTACGACACTATGATGTCATGCTCATGCATCGGAAACTCCGTGCCCATACCATTGAGATATCTCAATGAACTTCCATTTATTTTCTTGTTTTTATGGTGTAGGTAATTTATGGCCTTTCACCGATAGGCTACCAAACTGATACGGATTTTAAGAACATCCCACCTTCGGCTTTGTGTACGCCGTCACACTTTTATGAACTCGTTACACCACCGGAGAGTGTATAACCGATACAATTGGGTCTTGCACCCGAGGGAGAATTTAACCCTTCTTGCTATACTTGACACATTATCATTCATATTCCTGTGAGACTTAATCGAATTAGTCCAATTCCCAAGCCCCACCCACTCACCTATGGAGTAAGTAACCAACCCATGCACAAGCAGACACTATCATGCCAATGCATTTCTTTGGTATTTGAGATTGTAAGTCCATTTAAATTGCATTTGGGCATACATGACATGTACACGGGCTTAACTCAAATACTCTCGTGTTAAGTTTGATATATTTTTATTGATTCGAAATAAAACTGGACCAGTTAAAAGGGGATGTGTGGCGCAACGAGAGTCAAGCAATTTAAAAGTATAAAAAGGGGGAATTGATCATCATCTCCAAAAAGGCCTCAAAGAAATGCTTCTTCCACTCAACCACTAAACAATTTCCTCGGTCATGATCACCTTGCCAAATTTGTGGGAGAAACAATCACCAAGCACTTGATTGTTACCATGGAATGGACTACTCCTATCAAGGTCGACATCCACCTTCTCAGTTTGGTACTATGGTAGTCCATTCAAATATGACACATGAAGATTACACCTAGTATATTGACAGTGGTGCTAATAATCATGTTACATTTGATCCCACGATAATTGAAGCCAATGAACCTTATCATGGGCAAGAATCTGAGGTTGTTGGTAATGGTGATGGACTTCAAATCTCTCAAATTGGATCTAAGCAATTTTATGCTTCTCATTTTTGTTTAAATTTGAAAAATATTCTTCATTGTCCATCGGCTTCCACTAATTTATTATCTATTCAACGTTTTTGTGAAGACAATAATTGTTTCTTTGTTCTCACTGCCAAACATTTTCTTGTGAAAGACATGGAGACAGGAACCATGCTACTGGAAGGCAAGAGTGAAAATGGTTTATATCCCATCCAGTTGAGGAAGCTCTTCATTAAAAATAAAACGGCATGCTCACTTGTTGTCTTATTGGGTGTAACGACTTCGTTTTCTTTTTTGGGTGGCATTCAAGACTTGGTCACCCATCTGATGTCATTGTTAAAGTAGTAATAAATTCTAGCCATTTACCTATTCTGCTCAATGGCAATAATAATTCACCTTCTCTTTGTGAATCTTATCAATTTGGTAAAAGTAAGAAACAACCCTTTCCCCACTCTCTTCATGTGACAAAACAACCACTTAAACTTATTCATTTAGATGTCTGAACTTCACCAATTTCGTTTGTGAGTGGCTGCAATTATTATGTTGCCTTCATTGATGATTTTTCCTGTTTTACTTGGATTTTCCCTTTACATCACAAATTTGGTGTATTTGAGAGCTTCATTAAATTCAAGTGCTTGGTAGAAAACTTGTTGTCACTAAATCAAACAAATCCAATATGATGGGGGTAGTGAATTTAACAAAAATGAGTTCAAAGTCTTTCTTACCAAACATGGGATTCTTCATTGACAATCTTGTCCTTGCACTTTAGAACAAAATGACCTTGCAGAGCAAAAATTGAGACGTTTTTGAAGTTGGTCTTTACTTTACTAGCTCAATATCGACTTCCACAAAAATATTAGGTGGATGCCTTTGTCACGACAATATACCTTATAAATTGCTTGCCCACACTAGTTCTTCATTGTTCTAGTCCATTCAAAAAATAGTTTCATTCTATCCAAGATTACTCCCATCTTTGCAGATTTGTTTGTAGGTGTTATCCCCATCTAAGATCTTACATTGCTCACAAACTAGATTACCGTACCACACCTTGCATTTTTCTTGTGTATAGCTCTGGTCAAAAAGGATATCGATGTCTTGACACTTCCTCCAACATGGTTTATATATCAAGGCACATAATTTTTATGAACACTTCTTTCATAGATTGGAACAACACAATTCTTCTCTGCCTTCGACTAGTTTATTTCCACCTATCACCCAACTAAGTTTTCCATCCTTCCATTTCCCTCCATTACATTTTGCTTCCAATATTTCTTTGTCTCCTGCACCTAATTTTTTGAATCTACAACCCTCTCCTACATTTGGTCAGAATCACCTTGAGTCACCAGCAAACCCATCACCTTCCTCTACACACAACCCCAATTTTGACTCCATCATCACTACAGCTCCCTCTATCTCATCTCCATCCCTTTCTCCAACACCGAATTCCTCCTTTTCGGTTGTGCCTCGCCATTCTATGACTACTCGTTCGTGCACAGGAACCCTCCGACCAAAATCATATCTTG